ATATATTAATTATAAATATAATTTTATATTATTATATAATATAATATACATTATATTTTTGTATTACTTTAATTACATTTTATGATTATTCAATATTTTTTTTAATTTTTGCTATAACAGACCTTGGTTCAATTTCTAAAAATAAAATCCACTAAAGTTATAACATGCGCACAAATTGCTGGCCTTAGTAAATACTCAATTGCGAATTATTCAAATCTAAACATTAAATAACTCTTTCGCTATCATATCATTCGAATTAAAAAATATAATCTATTTTAAATAATATTATTTATATTCATACAGAAAAATTACATGAATATATAAATATTTTGTTGATACGTAATTAATTATGATACAATATATGCAAATGAAAATAATATGCAATATATAATAATTTCTTTATAAGAAACATATTTTTAGGAAACATACATATTTATTTAATAGGAAACACACACATATATATATTTTTTAATAAATTAATATTCAATATATGAGAATAACATATATATATTCTGGTAGTAGAATTTAAAAAAATATTAAAATTTAAAAATATATATATTAAATTAAATTAGATTACAATTATAGTTTTTGAAAATATATTATCTTTATCTAGTTAAAAATATACTAAAAATATGCGTTAAATATATTTGACAAACGTCTTTCGAAGCATCATCAATTCTTTTTACAAGGATAATAAAATCATTTTAGCAGAAAAAATTGATTATTGAATTATGTATGTGAATTTTTTTTTTTAGCAACTTATTATTATTTGTTGCGTCGACGTTGAAAAATTCTCGATCTTCAAGCTTGAAGTTTGACTAATCCGAAATAATTGCATGTTGGCATCATGTCAACAAACTATCGAAACCACAGTTATTCAGCAAGTTGTTTAAGTATTGTGATTCACAACATTTTTCAAACCACTATGATAAATTTTTCTTTTGAATTTTCTATTTCATATTCCATTTATATTTTTTATATTTTTATTTGAATATTTTACAATGTATTTTTCATCGAAACATTCTCTATGTAATTAAGAAATAATCGACAGAGTACCACAGTTTTTGTCCTTTTCTCCCCCCCAAAAATAGATCATAGTCCGCGTATTCATATATGATAGATCATGCATCGATTTGAATTTCGCGCGTCGATAAGATAGGCTCGAAGTGTCGATCGATCGATTCACATTATCGCGCTCTCGAACGCGTCGCGGCGATCGATCGAAACGACTGATCGTGCGCCATGGCGCGTTCATTTGGCGCATTCACGTAAGTACACCGAGTTTCTACCAATGATTGATATTAATTAATAAAAAGATTAAAAAAAATTAAATTAAAAAAAAGATGACCTCTCCAAGCGTGTTAGAGAAAAAATAATAATGAGCGCACTCGAAAGAAGCTGTCCAACGATCATTTTCCATCTACAGAATAATTTAGAAATATTATTTCTAATATTAATATATTAGAAATTAATTTCTTTTCCAATTTTACAATTAAAAAAATGTTATATTTATTCTATTAAAATTTAAAATTTATATATGTTTATTTTTATTTTTGCAATGTAATAAAAATATATATTGAATAAATTCGAAAAGAATCGATACAGCCCTTTCGATGCACTATATAAAATAACTAACTTTAACACGAATATACGAGTTTAGGAAAAAAAATAGAATAATAAAATCAAAGTAAAAAAAAAAAAAAAAAAATAGACTAAATAATAATAAAAAAGATATTTATATCTCTAAAAAATGAGATAACAAATAAAAAATAAAGATAATAATAATCATAATCATAATTTTAAAAAAAAAATGAAAAAAAAAATGTTCGCTTTGTGCCGATGGTAAAATTCGTAACCGCAACTTTCTGACTTGGCAAACCATTTTGCCCTCTCCCCTTTCTCTCTGATTGTTGGGTTACCATCTCCGTTGTAATGGAATGGAATGGAATGGAAACGGATATGGCACACGGATTGGTCACTATGGTCTCGACTGGGCGCTCGGATCGGGTGGTTCGATGATGACCGATGACGATGATGTATCCCCCTACTTCCTCCCCACCGACACACTCGTACGTTCGTCCGTGCTTACACACGTCCTCTACCGCGTGTTACACGGGTCTCCGCCCTCGTGGTGGTGGTGGTGGATGGCGGTGTGTGTGGCGATCGGTTGACGCGACGGCCCTGGGATGTGGACCCTCAACCTCGACCGATGGGATCACTACTACAACACAACCTTCAACGCAACTTCGTGGTGGGCCATCGACCACGATTCAACCAATCAACATGCGAACAACACAACGACATCTCTTGGTCCACTGGTGAATCGTCAACGTCACGGTGGGGAAATCGTTCTCTGTCGGCCCTGCTTCTCCTGTTCGTCCATCATGAAAACGAACACACGGGGACCGATCGTCGACCAATGTGAACCGGGCCACCAAACGG